AAGGCTTTTTAGTTGATCCATCAATTTAGTTGTGTTCTATACTCTGGCAAGGTATAGGGCGGATCTAGCAACATGAGTAAGATGTTGTATCATAATGAGGCACATAGTGATGGTTGTCGGTTAGAGAAACTCCCTAGTAAAGTGTGTGTGTATATATATATATATACACTTTAGTTCAATATTTACTTTTATTTCATCCATACAGTAAGAACATTAAATGATTTTCATCGTAACTTTTGCTATTCCTTAGTTGAGATACGTTCAGCATTTCAATTCAGTTATTTATTTTATTCAGCCCGATAACATACTCGTACATTCAATGTATTGATGTCATTCGACTTACATCTTTTCATGATGCAGATTTAAGTACTTAGGATTTTCAACTTTTGAGATCACATCATCCGTTCGTCAGATTTAGGTGAGACCTGCTTGCTTTCGTACAACTCCAGTTTTATGGTTTGTTAGTAGTAGCATTTTGATGTTCCATGGGTCCTGTTGTAATGACCCTCATGGTCATTTCTGTGTCTTGCCTTCTGTGTGTCTTTTAGAGCGTTCCTATAGCGACCCCAAGTCATTTATGACTTGCTGGGACTGACAGTTCGGTCACCTGATCGTTCGTTTGGTCTTGGTGCGAGTTTTTGTGTTTTGGAACTTATGAACCTTGAACGATCATTTTCGATCAAAAGTTCAAGAAGATGACATCGAAATCCAATTCTGACGATTCCATCAGCTCCGGAAGGGTCATTTTAAGCTAGTAGCATGGTTGACATGACTCCCGAGGTTTTCAGTGTGAGTCGGTGCGATTAGGCGTTTTAACTTTAAGTGTAAGCCTAAGTTTGACTTTGGTCAACATTCTGAGTAAACGCGCTCGGATGAGAATTTCGTCAGCGTGGTTAGCTTCGGAATGTCGAGTTTGGTCTAGATTGACCCTTCTTTTGTGTCTGGAGGTTTTCGATATCTTTCCGAGCCCTTTTGTGGGTTTTGACTTAAAAGGGCTGTTGGAAGTGGGGCCCACTTTTTATCGAAATGACATCTGATGGAAATTTTGACTGCGCCGTTGAGTCTGGAATATCGAATTTGATATGGTTGCATATCTCGTTTGCGTGCACGGGGTTCCGAACGAGATCGGAGCACCACATCGGAATTTTAAGTTTTGGAAATGTTGCTGATTTTCTGCAATAAATTGCAGAAAATCAGCAACATTTTTCAAACTTCAAACCCTCATTTCTCTCTCATCTCTCAACCGATTTGGGTGATTCAAAAGGCTAAGTTGTGAGATTTTTCGAGGACAATGTGTTGGTGAGCTCAGATAGTGATTTGGAGTCCCCGTTTGAGGTAAATTTCGAAAAATACCTGCTGCCAGACCTCTTTTTGTAAGCTTGATTTTGGAAATTTTTTAGACTAGTTTTCTTAGCCATTTTAGATCCGATTTTGGTGATTTTTGAGGCTATCTTGAGTGGTTTTTCGAGGAGAACATTGAGGTGTTGTCAATTTTTACTGCAGATCCCCCGTTTTTGGTAAATACGCTGAATTAGCTGCTGTCCCATTTCTAATTTTTGAGAAATTTGGGTTTTAGTTGCATGTTGATATTGTGTTGTTCCCGAGCCCCGAATTGTGTCCCATTTTGGGACATGATCTGGGGGAAACTGGTTAGGACCCACTTTTGGGGTTAATTTCGGAATTTCCGGCGCGGGTCCCACAATTCCCGTATTGACTCCAAAATTGACCTGTCTCTGTTTGTTGTGATTTTGGTGTCTAAACGACCGTATTAACGTTGTGACTCTATTTTTGATAGCGGGGAAGCGTTTCGAGGCCGTTCATAAAGGAAAAGCTCCGAAGGAGTGATTTTGGAGCGTGTGTGATCGGCCTACAGGTAGGCTACGGTTTTCCTCTTTTAGATTGAGCTCGAGAATGTGAATGCATGTTGATTAGTTGGGATTTCGGTTGGGTAGTTATTGAATCTTGCATAGGTGTTAAGAAATCATGTTTTCGGCCTATTTCCGGAATTATCGGGTAACTGTGAGCATGCTTTGTGTTATTAACGGACCCTCCTCGCTATGTGGAGTGCTTGCATGCTTAATTATTATTTATTTGAAGAATGTTGGGCCTTAGTTTAGGTTTGCCTAGGGCTTGCCTTAGAAATACATTATTCGGATCCAGTAGGCCTTAGTTTTGCCCTGACGTCGCTCGACCGACTTAGATCCCTGTAGACTGGTGTAGCAGACTTGAGTCTGATAGTTTGGGCCTTAGTTAGGTGATACTCTTTCTCTGACTATAGTTATCCTTATTTTCCCCGATGTTACGGCTTCACGAGTTACATCGGCGACACTAATTCTACTTCGCGATTTGAATTTGATTTTCGATTTGGTTCCAAGGACTTACATTGATTGGCTAAGTATGAACGGCGTTCCACAGACATTTATGAGTGTGGATCGATTAGGACTCTTTCAGCAGCTACATTAGCACCTTTATAGAGCATCCGGTTTAAGGTCCGGCCTCTATTGCCCAAATATTTATATAGAGCATCCGGTTTAAGGTCCGACCTCTATTGCTCAGATACCTATATAGAGCATCCGGTTAGAGTTCCGGCCTCTTATACTTGTTATTTGTGATTGGTTACTTGGATATTTCTTGTGAGCATCCGGTTCGAGGTCCGGCCTCCGTACTGTCAGATTCTACTAATTAGGGTTGAGGTTCTGATTCGTGTTCTTCGTTCTTGGGTTCTCATATGCAATTCTCTTTAGTTATAGTCACTACTAAAAAAATTGCAAAAGGAGACCTAAAAAAAGAGACCTCAAAAATAGGTCGCTAAAAAGAGACCTCATGAAGTCGCTATTTGCATCAATAACTTTTTTTAATTTTTTTTTAACAGGAGAGACCTCGTGAGGTCAATTTTATAAAAAAATCTTCCTAATTAATAATATAAGTGACTTATTTTTATTTTTTTATTTTATAGTATGTCTTTGCATAAAATATGCGACCTCACGAGGTCACTATTTGTTAAAATAAAAAAAATATTAATTTAGGTTTAGATATCTTGTGAGATCTCATTTTATTAGTCAAATTTGTAAAATAATATTTTAAAATAAGAGACCTCATGAGGTCGCTTATTTTTATTAAATTAAAATAAGAGGGCATTTTTAATTTAGTTTATCTCCTTTCCTGCTCTTCACCTAAAAGCTAAAAAAAGCCCTAACTTGTCTCTTCCCCATAGCTTTACAGATGTGTAGCCTCCGATTGTCGTCAAGCCTCTCATCAGTTTGAAATTTTAGTTTTCACCTTCGAAACTCACTCGGTTTGAAGCCAAAGCTTTCGTCATCGATTCAAATTCTCGGTGTCGATTTCTTTCTCTGCAAATAAAGGTGAATCTTTCAATCTTTAAACCAAGTTGTAACTATATTGTTTATTTATTGCAAGCATCCATCAATGCAGACTCTCTCTTTCAATTTACTGCAAGCATTAGTAGAATTTGTGATTCTCTTTTCACTTCATGAACATATAATTAACTTTGGGTTTTACTCTTGTTCTATCTTAATGTCCTATTTTGACTTCTCATGATGATTAACATGAATGCTAGCAAGTTTTGTATCATATAATTTAGAAGAAGATACATGGGTAGTAATATCTAAGAATAAAGAAATAACATCGGTTATGAAGATTTTCTATTTTATTTTGAGATTATTATACCTTATATCTCACTCTAAATAACTCCTAATAATCATGTGTTGAATTCTGATTTAAATTTAGAACTAATATCATTTTGGTTCATGTCTCTGTATGTATTTTGGTTGTTTTTTAACTGAGGAGAGAAAAGTTATACATATATATATATACACACACTATAGTCTATAGATATAAACCATCGTGCAATAATGAGGAGAGACAAGTTAAGAAACCATTGTACCGAGAAAGGTCCTTGACCCTTAATAGTGCCTATTGGCTGCATCATCATCATCATCATGCTAGCTGAAGCTGTTGCCTCAAATGCAGGAATCTCCTTAATACTACTAACTGGGAAGATGACTTAATTTCTTGTTTGAAAAATTCAAATTTTGTGTGTAGATGGATCGTAGTTTGATGTATAATAGGAATAATTTTGGTCGAGCGGGCCTAAGGCCTGAAGATACATGGGTAGTAATATCTAAGAATAAAGAAATAAAATCTGTTATGAAGATTTGTATTGTATTTTGAGATTATTATATCTTATATCTCAATCTAAAATAATCATGTTGTAAATTCTGATGCAAACTTAGAACTAATATCATTTTGGTTTATGTCGTTGTATGTATTTAGTTGTTTTTAAACTGAAAAATGTGTGGATTAGATGTTTTTGCTGAGAATTGACAATTAATATGACTTGTTCGTTGTTTATGAGTAATTAAGATGACATATGGATCTACCTATTATTTTATTGGTTGTAGTAATGAGAAGAGGAAAGTTATATATATACTATAGTCTATAGATATAAACCATTCATGTGCAGTAATGAAGAGAGAAAGGTTAAGAAATCATTGTGCCCAGAAAGGTCCTTGACCCTTCTGTAATAGTGCCACCTTACTACTATTTTTTTAATGATGTATTCTATTTTGATTTATTTAGGGAAGTGGACATTATTTGGGACAAACTGTTGAGAGAAGTATGCTTTTGTAGTCACCAAAGATACATTTATTCATTTGCACAAGGCCTCGTTAAGCAGTCCCTACTAGGATTGTTACAATTTGATTTTCAGTAAATTATTACATAAATTAGTGTTTAACAAATTCAATTTTTTGTGATCTTTATGTAAATGAATCGTAGTTGGATGTATAAAATGACTAATTTTGGTCGAATGGGGCTAAGACCTGAATTTGTAGAAGGCGTCACTGATTTTGTGGAGTATGCAAAGACACTAGAACTTTTTCAACGTAATGGTGTGCTTAAGTGTCCTTGTAATAAATGTCAATGTTTGAATTATGAAAAATCAGATATTGTTAAGGGTGAAGGATCCAAGATTTAAGCAAATGAGTGAGATCGGTAAGAAGGCTAGACCATCTACTAAGGGTGGTTCTCTACACACAAGTGGGGCTCAAAGTCAAGGAAGTACAAGGAGGAAATTGGTATGTATCATTTTTCTGTAAGTTTTTATATATTTTAGGTATTAATATTTAATTACTCTTGATTATAACTTAATTAGTTCAATATGTAGGAAAAGGAACTAGGAAGATTGGTAGCTCAGACTGAGGCATTCAAGGCAACACACATAAGAAAGAAGAAAAATCTCAAAGATCCAGACATGTGGGTTGAGCCGCGAGCTGAATTGACCTATGTAAGCCTCTAATTTAAACTAATAGTTACTTATTTTCTAAATTTATATTCTAACAATAATACCATTCAATTTAGAATCGATATCTTCAAGTTTTGGAGGATTTACGACAAACTTAACATGAAGAAATCGAGGTATGCCACTTACCCAAGAACAGGCTGAGAGAGTGTGGCTAGCTTGCTTGGTGGGCCGAGTAGATATGAGTATGCCTATGGCATGCCACAACAGACCTTTCGTGAATATCATTCTGAGTTTGAAGGCCTAAGTAGTTTCTATGATGATGAATCGACATAGAGTATGAGGGTCTTAAGGCTCAATTAGATGCATTACTTGCTTCAGGAGGGATTCCCCCTTGTTCCAATGACGTCACTTTCCCTCCTCAACCCTCTCAGTCTCAACCTACTCGATATCCAGTCTATGGCCAACAAAGAAATATGACAGATGAGTCTAGTAGTGATGAAGAAGATGGTGATCATGTGGCAAACACACTACCGCATTAGTGAAGTTTAGAGTTGTAATAGATAATCTAAGTTCTTTACTTTATGACTTTTTTATGGGACTTATTCGTTTTGTGAATGCATGATAACATTGAAATCCTGTTATATAACTTATGGATTTTATGATTTTTCGTTTAATTTTGAATTACATTGAAGGTGAGTTGCATATTGAGTTGATAAGAGAATATTTAGTAAATGTGTTGTATTAGTTGATTGTTGGAAGCTCTTTGAGCTTGATTTAGCTAATTAGAAAGGTATTGAATTAATATGACAGGTGATGAGCAGCTGCAAAAACAGTTACAAGTTGTAAGTTTTTTTCCAGAAAAAGAGACCTTATGAGGTCTCTTCTTTGCATTTTATTTTTCAGAAATTTCATAAAAGAGATCTCATGAGGTCTCTTTTCTGCATTTTAATTTTTAGAAATGCAGTAGAGAGACCTCATGAGGTCTCTTTTCTGCAGTTTATTTTTTAGAAATGCAGTAGAGAGACCTCATGAGGTCTCTTTTCTGCAGTTTATTTTTTAGAAATGCAGTAAAGAGACTTCACGAGGTCTCTTTTTGGCAATTTCATTTTTTAGGCTATGAAATAAAGCGGCCTCGTGAGGTCTCTCTTTTTAAATATAAAATAAAAATAAATAATATAATAGTGACCTCATGAGGCCACCTTTATTAAAAATAAAACAAATGTAAATTACGAAATTGCGACCTAATGAGGTCTCTTTTAAAAAAAAATTGGAAAATTTATTGGTGACGTCGTGAGGTCTCTACAAAAAAGTCACCTACATTATAGCGACCTACCGTTGAGGTCTCTTTTTAGGTCTCTTTTTTCAGAAAAGAGACCTCATGAGGTCTCTTTTTTAAGTCTCTTTTTACAGTTTTTTTAGTAGTGAGTTATTTTGTGTACTCGTCGGGCTTATGGGGGCCTGTTCGGGTTTTTATTTTACTTGCGCACGAGTGTACTTTCTGGGCTTATGGGGGCCCAGTTAGGTGTAGTTAGCTTATAGATTACTTTAGTTAGTTCTTTGTACACTCGTGTGCATTCCCTTGTTAGTTAGATTTTAGTTCTTGACTTCGGTTTGTATTATTCCTTCTTTTCATATTGCCTTTACTTTTCAAGTTCAGTCGACCTATGATGCCTACTGGGTACCTGTTGTTTTGGTACTCATGCTACGCTCTGCATCTATTTCGTGATGCAGGTCCGGGCACTAGTAGCCAGCGTTGATCAAGCTTGGAGCAGAATGATCCGGAGACGGGAGTGAGCACACGATGTTTTGTACTATTTCAGTCTCCATCTGTATATATAGACTTGTTTTTACCTTTCGAGACAGTCCAGTCTCTGTTGTCTAATTTTGGGACTTGTACTCATTTTGTTAGTAGCTCTGTACTAGTGACTTTCAGGTTCTGGGAGGGATCTTTATTTGTATATATGTTTTTGGCTTGCTTCCGCCTGTTTATATTGTTATTTGTCTACTCTTGTTTAGTTTCTACCCTCAGACCCATTACTTGTTGTTCCGGGTTACGGGTTGGCTTACCTACTGGTGGGTTATAATAGGTGCCATCATGACTTGAGAAATCGGGTCGTGACACCTGTCCTGACACATTTTTTTTTACAGTAGAGGCTTCATAGATAGACATTCTTGGTCAGTCTTGTAATATTCAGTTTCAGATATGATATTTAAAACTTTATGTTTAATGCTCAGTATTTTTAGATAACTTTAAGATTTAGTAAGTTGTTTATAAATAATTTTTCAGTTTTGATGCTTGTGTATGCTTTAGTTAGTCTTCTGATTGTAGTTAGCTAAGTCGAGGGTTCGCTTGGGGACCAACAATGGTTCTCAAGTGCCGGCCACGTTAAGGGTGTAGGCTTGGATCGTCACACTGTATTAAGGTTAAGATTCATATTATACAAATTTTCATACTTGAAATCCATAAAGGTTTAAATGACTATAGAAATCATCCTAAATCAGTAAAATGAGGTTTTAACGGCTAAAATAGATTAAATGAAATATAAGCTTGTGAGGAAAATCGTAGTTTTTATGAAAATCCTGACTTTTCTTCACATAGTTTTACAAAATCCTTGAATTTAAAATACATTAGATATGAGACTGAAGGGATATTCTCATTGAAGCCTTACATATCTTAAACACTTCATGAATCTTTAAATGAGAACCCTAACTTGATGAAGAACGATAAAAAAATCCTTTCTTGAAATTCTTGAATTCGTTTATTGAATATCCTATGTTTTGATGGAAGATTCTTGCTTAAGATACATAATTATATGTTGGATTTACTAAGAAATTATGAGAATAAGCTTACATTGATTTGGAAGGAAGAACTCTTGATAAACCTGCTCAAAAGTCAAGTCTTTGAACCCTAAAATTGAATTCTTAATTTCACTAGAGATAGGAGGATGATTTGATGTTAGAATCTTGTAGAAATTCAACTATTTATGTCGTAAGATCATGAAAAATATTTACCAATACTTAGTAAGGTTGAAGAGAGATTTAGGGGGCTGTTGGGATCGACCAAGGAGTGAAAAGTGAGAATAGAAACTCACAATAACATTTTTATGAAATCTGGAAATTTGATATACACTGAATATACGAGTGATATACATGGTCTATGGGCCCCATTTACGGACTATAAAATGATCCATGGATTGGATCTGTGGAACTCAGATTAAAAAATTGAGCCTCTGATCTTAAACCCCGAGCATGTTTCATGACCCGTAATTGGTTGCACGTCCCGTAGTTACGAGTCTGTGGTTTCTGGATGGAATTTCACACTAGAGTGTCGTTAGTAAAACTATCATAACTTTTTACTCCAAACGCCGTATGTGGAAAATTTGGTAGAGTTGAAAAGAAAACTCATAGACCTTTAATTTGGTAGGTCATGACTTATAAAACTTCTCATATTATAAGATATATTGTTGTTTGAAGTTGACCATTGTATGATTTCATGGAAAAACTTTGTGAGTAAGAATGATTTTGAGCTCGCCTTAGTGCTAGAGGTCCTTATTAACCCTAAATCACTTCCAACATACTTACAACAGTTGGTAATAAGCCTTAATACACTTGAACAACGAGGAATCATCTGGTATGAGTCTACATGCATAAAAAAGAATAGTTTAGATTTTAGCTCAATTTTTTTTGGGGTGTTACAAGAACCTTAACTTTTTAATGATCACTAAAATCTAATTCTTATAGAAAAAAAAAAAACAAAAAAACAGTCTTACCAAAATCATGACCAAGCATGTATATCATGACTGGTGGTGTCAAAATTGAGCTCAATTATAGGTAACCCGCCCAATCGCTCAGAATTATTAGGGTTGGGCTCAAGATTTTTTAAAGTGGGTTGAATCCTCATTACAGTCCTAACCCATTTTAAGAGAATCCTCAATTGAACCCAATTTAATCTCCAACTTCAATCCGTTTTAAGACTCTTTATTTGCATTGATGTAATGTATTTTCCTATATTGAAGGTATGAATTACTATTTATTTTATATCTTTTAGGATTTAGCTATCCATTTGTAACTTCTCTTTTAAAAATTTCTTGAGTTGAAAGTCAAATTATGGTTATAAAACTTAAATAGCAATGTACTAAAATTATTGAGATTAAGGAGGTCAAATTGGGCGGGTCAAGATCCAACCTGTTTTAAGTCCATTTGAGCCCAAAGTAAACTTGAACGGTTCAGAACCCAACCCAATTTTTATTTCAACCTATTTTAATATCTTCAATTTCAACCCAACCCGTCTATTTGACACCCCTAACTAGTTTGATGCCAGATGCAACATTCACGTGAAGAATCTCAAATTTTAATGATCACTAAAATCTAATTCTTATAGAAAAAACCAAAATAGAACAGTTTTACCAAAAGCATGATCAAGCATGTATACCATGACTGATTTGATCACAGATGCAACATTCACGTGAAGATCACTAAAATCTATGTTTGTTTACAGTAAGCTGTTGTTGTGCCTATAAATAAAGAATATTTTCTGTTTTCTTTCTATCCAAATATCCAAAGCCTTTTAGCAATTCTAAAATTTCTCAATGAAGTCTCAGTTTCTCTGCTTGCTCTCATTCTTTTGTGTAAGTAAATTCCCCACTAATATATTTTACTAAATATTAGAAGAGCGAAATTTGAAGAGCTTAGGATCAGTCGATCAATTGACCTATCTACCCATCTCCTCAAATTTCCTCGATGTTATATTTGGTAATTTTATATGAGGAGCTTATGGTCAATAGGTCAATTGATCGATCTGCCCTACTCCTCAAATTTCCTCTATTTTATATTCAGTAATTTCATTTGAGGAGCTTAGGGTTGGTCAGTCAATTGGCCCATCTGCTATACTTCTTAAATTTCCTCTATTTATATTTACTAATTTCCTCTATTTTATATTTAGTAATTTCCTCTATTTATATTTAGTGTTTTCTCTGTTTTAATTTATTTGTCTTACTTATTTTATTATTTTTGAAATTTCATCTATGTCACATAAATTGGAATTAAGAGAATAACATAGATTATTTGAAATTATGTTAAAAATACTCTAAAATACAGTAATTAACATCTCAAAATATTTAGTATTACTATTTATAAGAAGAGCGAATTTGAGGAGCTT